TATATATATATTGGTAAGAATTGCTTGCATGGTAATCCTAGGTAATTAGCTTTTTTTTGCTACTTTAGTTGTTGAATTGTAAAATGTAAAGACCTATCAGGAATAGAGGTTGGTGCAATTTTTCCTATATTATATAATTCTAGTGGGATTGAAACACTATGTATTTCTATATTTTATTTAATTTTTTAAAGATAAAATTAAGATTAATTAATAAAGGTGGTTAAAAATTTGAATGGTTAGAGGTAGTTCACTTATTTAAGTACGTAGTAAAAAAAACTCACTACAAAAAAATCAAGTTTTAGCGACCACCAAAATCGATCGCTATTTAGGTAAATTCAGTCGCTGTTACATTCAGCGACCGAAATAGCGACTGAAAAAATCCATCGCTAAAACCCTGGTCGCTATTTTAAATAGCGATCGAAATTTTTTCCGTCGCAATTTAGCGACCGAAAAATCAGTCGCTAGACATTAAAAATCCGTCACTAATATTTTGGTCTCCTAACTTCTCGAGACCAATTTTGCGACCGAATTTTTTGGTAGCAATTTTCGTTACTAATTTTTTTATTTATTTAATAAAAACATTTTAAAAATCAGTCTTTAAATCGGTCGCTAAAAACCTGAAATAGCTACGAATAAATTCGGTCGCTATTTCGGTCGCTAAAAATTTGAAATAGCTACAAATTATTTTGGTCACTATTTCGGTCGCTAATAACTTGAAATAGCTACGAATTATTTCGGTCGCTAAAAACTTGAATTAGCTACAAATTCTTTTGGTCGCTATTTCGATCGCTAATATTAACCAATATTTTTAAATTCTTTTTAAATTATAAATTTATACCTGTTAACGAATATGAAATTAACAATATATTTATTACACAATTTATAATAATAAACTAGAACATTCTAAAAGACATAATCTCATCGATGTAAATTTATATTATAGTGAAAACTAAATAAAATATAAGCATGTCAATATAGTATGCTAAAAACACAATAATAACATAAAACGTTTAAACTTCAACAAAGTAATAGTGAAATACAATAAAATATCCTGAAACAAGTAAAATAAAGAAGCTTAATTAAGGGTCTTCTGCTATGTCATCAAGAGCATCATCAACAGCATGGTCAGGATCATCTGGGGTAGTACTCGGTGCAGGAGGGGTTGGCCTTAAAGGGTCAATGTTGAGATGGCGTAGTATATACTGCATCTGCTCATCATGCTGTCGTATATGCTCTTCCAATGCTTTTTCCTTTGCTTCCTTTGCAGCAAGCTCAGCATTTAATTTAGTTATCCTATTTTGCATTTCTTCTATCACCCCTGCAGTGACTGGTAATGGCTGTGACATAGAAGATTGTGGAAGTGTTGAGCGAATGAAATCATCGGTCAATCCAGCAAGCCCATACAAGTTCCCCTTCGGATTCTTTTTAACCACCTGCAAATAAACTTCATTATCACTAATACAAGTAGAAGCAGAGCCCTCTGTGTCATCCTGTGTAGCTTGTTGCTTGACTTCAATTAGACGCTCCTTATATTTCTCCTAAAAAAATAAAAAATATTATTTCAACAAAAATTAAAATATCACTAATATTCTTTGATTTTAATTCAGCAAATAATTGTTATTTTACATCAAATAATTCAACAAATAATTCCAAGACAACAAAATCCACAACTGATATATTTAAACCCTTCTTAGAGTTATAAAATTAATTGGGAAGAGAACACTCACTCTAACACTCTTTTAATTATTGATTCAAAATCATAATTTTTAGTTAATTTTACCACTAATCAGAATCACAAATTATAGATACAATACTAAAAAAAATAGTAATTTCTAATATGTTTCGACCAATAAAAATCGACATCAATCATGAGCAAGGTCAAATCCATTTTATTAGTTCTTTAATGCGTAGTTCTTTTCGATCAGAACAAAAGATACATTATTGTAGTTATGCAAATAATTTGATATAATTGATATTTTTAAGATCATTTAAGACAGCAGCAGTTCTTTTTGTCACGTTCTTACCTAAACTATCAGATTTGTGAATGGAAAAGCTATCAAGAAACATTTGCCTCTCCGAATAGTAATGGTATTATTATTCTAGGTATGCAAAAACAAGAACAGGCATATAAAACAGAACAGAGGACATGCAGAGAGATGGAAGTGATGAATCTTTTAAGTGATCAGTAGCAGAGTGTATCGAGTGAAGGTTCAAGTTCTCAACTATTGAAATATATTGATGAAAAAGTATAAGTCCTCAAACACTAGATATATTGATGGGTATAACAAGATTAAATGTTACTTTCAAGTCTATTATAAGATATACTATACAAAATGCTTAATCAATGATTCTATTTCTTTTATATTACAAAATGCTTAACAAATAAAATTATTTATCTAACTATGATACGTGTAGGTCATTTTTTTCCCTCATTCTGGTTATTAACGAACTATGGAGACTCCAAGTCCAATAGAGTTTAATAATATGGTTCTTGTATCTAAGTGTGATTTATTAGAGAGATGTGAATAAGTGAGTGTCATATGACAAGGATGTATGCTGATGGCAGATCTGAGAAGGTGGGAGGAAAGGGTTACCACACACACGTGCACCATTACCTTTTCTTGTTCTGTCAGGTGCGTGTTGTTCAAATTGCCCTTAAACCCACAATCAGAGTTACCAAGAGCTCTCAAACACTGTTTCCTTTTCCTGTTCTGTCAGCCATATTCAAACTGCCCCTAAACCTGCAATTGTGGCCGCAGAGCAGCCGCCTCACTCCCACTCTAGTAGCAACATTGAAAAACCACATGATGGCATCAATGTAGCAGCTCCATGCCGCTCCGACTGCTATTGACAACCTAGGCTTCACTAGCATTAACTAGCCTAATAAATTTGTTAGTTTGCCATAGATCAACTTCCAAAATCAACATGTGAAAGAAGAAAATCTTTTTGGCCAGCAGACAAGTTACATATATGTTGAAAGTAAAACGCTTTTAAATAATAATAATAATAATAATACATTAAAAGAAAATGCTTATGCATATATATTCCAAGTTTTACAGGTTTAATAACTAATATTCAGTTGGTGCATAAATATCACTCTGACCACCAAACATGACCTGAAGCAATTAATTAATAACAATAGAACATGAAAACATGGAAAAGGCCTTTGCCCGATGTGCAATTGGAACAATGTCATCATCTAACAGAGGCCATTCCACAACAAGCTTTACACCCATTTTCAAAACAGCACCTTGAGTATTGACTTCCTTCTTCCACTGTTGGACTACACAATGGAAGGCCGCACTCTCCTCCTCGTTTCTAAACTGGATAGTGACTCCCCTGGAATACAATGTCTGGTTCAAAATAGCACAGTTAAAATGCATTAGTATTTGGATTCAAATATAACATAAATACATTAAGACGATTTAACAACAAGACAAACCTTACGAAAACAAAAAAATCATCACACAGGCATTGAAAATTTCCAACCATATATAGCTTAGCACAAAGATTTTGCTCTGTACCTTTTTGCCAGCATCAGATCTTTCCACCACGCACACCGATAGAACAGGACTCACCTTGAATAACTGTCAAGTTAAACCACAAATTAACAATAATTAACAGATTCTAATGAAGATTATCGTCTCATTCACTGAATGCTTCGCCATTCAGTGAATAAAAGAAAGCGACACGCAGCATTAGAATTCAAAGAAAAATAACAAGTAAACGCCGAGAAAAAAGAAATTCAAAATTAACCTTGCCGCCGTATTAGATAAAACAAACAGTTTGATAGCTGAAAAACGTTTTGATTATTCTTGCATTTGCTAGGAATAAAAGCAGAAGGTGAAAATGAACCTGAACAGTTCGAGGATCGACACTGAGGGGAATCTGGTGAGATTGGTTATGAATTTGGAGACCGTCAGAGTCGAAGCGAGCAATTCCCGGTGAAGCGGAAGAAGGAGGTGAAGAGAGGTCGGAAACTGAGGCCAAAGCGAACTCTCGGTGCTTCCACTTTTGCCCTAACGAATCCTCCATTATCTTATTCTTCTCTCTTTCGTTCTCCACCAAACCACAACTCTCTTTGTATTCCAAGCATGACGCATGCAACTATGTGAGTGAGAGTAATTAGTTATATAACTAGGGTTTGGGGGTTCCAAAAATTGAGAGCCGCCAGAGGAGCGGAGAAGAGAGGGCTTTGTTCTATGCTCTGGTGAGTTACTGTGTCAGCTATATGGGGTTTTTATTCTGCCCAGGAGAAGGGTTTATTTTTTTTATTACATTAATTAATTAATTAGTTATTCTGAATTATTTTTTTTTATTAATTATTCTGAGTCATGAATGCATTTTTAAACTCTATCGTAAGTTACTAAAATGAATGACAAATAAGATTAAATTGAAAGTTTTCTAACGTAAGTTACTAAAATAATGCATGCTTTCTCTTCATTTTTTAAAATAATATTCTATTTTATTCAACACGTCCAATTAAATATCCAATTGAAAGAGTCAGACAACAAAAGGTCAAAAGATAATAAAATATTCTAATTAAGTAAATTAAATAAATTAAATTAAATTAATTAAATCTTATAATGGTTATTTTTTTAATGATACTAAATTAAATATTCTAATTATTTTACAATAAATTAAAATGAAAAGATAATAAAATATTTTAAAAGATAATAAAATATTTTAACTGATATTTCAAATAAAACACATTAAAATATTATAATCAAAACAAATCCAATATTAAATCAAAAGATTATAATTAAATATTTTTTCAAAATTTAATTAAATATTTTTATCAAAGAAACTGATACAGATTTTAGATTTTATTTACTATATTTTATAATTAAAAGAAATTCAATATTAAATTATAAGATAATAAAAATTATAAGCTTCTGTATTATATATATATATATATATATATAATTACTTTCAGTAGAATATCAATGAATCAAATTGGCGTAGCGGTTTCGTGGTTGGCCCATGATTACCCACAGGACCCAGGATCGAAACCTAAGTTTGTTTGTATTGTTTAGCTACCGAAATTTAATTGGTCGCTAAAAATTTCAAAAGTTTAGTATTAGCGACCGAATTAAATTCGTCGTAATTTTGAAAGTGACCGATTTAGCGACTGATTTTAATTCGGTCGCAAAATAGCGACCGAAAAATTTCGGTCGCTAATTTTGGTCGCTATTTTGTATTTTTCTTGTAGTGACTTATTTAAATGATTACATGGGTGGTTAATTTATAATATTATTCATATTATTTAAAAATTTAAGGATAAAATCATTTAAAAAATGTAGAGATGAAAAAATAGTTATAAACTCATGTATCCCATTTATTTATAGATATAAATATTATCTTAATATATAAATATATATCATGTTAAAAATTTCAAAATAGAAAAAAAAAATGCACCCCTATTATTTATAATGTACACTCATTCTTATGGAATTTTACTTTATGTATTGCATGTGGTGTAATAGTTGGTTGCGTGCTACGACAAAATAATCGTCAATCAATTATATTTGACTAATCAAACATTTAAGGTAGGTGTAATTTCGGACATAAGAATTTCAACAAATTTAAAATAACTATGTAAAACTTAATTCTAACATTAAAATGAAAAAAAAAAAATTGTTCCTATTTGGCTAGATTGGTAAAAATCCAATCATTGAATAAATGATTTATATTGTCTAATAATTCATAATATGGATGGTTCTTGTAAAAAAAAAATCATTTTTATTCTCATATTAAAAAGTTTAAGGAAACCAAAAAATTATATATAATTTCTTATATATAGTTTTTCACATTCTTTAATCGAAAATGAAATTTCATCTCAATAATCTACACAACCTTTTAATGCAATTTTTTTACATAAATTATTAAGATGAAACTTCAATTCTAATTAAAAAAACATCATAAACAATATTTATAAAATGATATTTAAGTTTTGTCTTAAAAAAAGTCTTTAAATTCATCCTAGTATATTTCCTCCACAATTTTTTTTCCATCACATCTCATGCTACATGAATTTTTGTCTTAAAAATGACAAATAAATTGTATAATTTTTTTTACTAAAGTACTTTCCTAAATAACATGTTCCATGATTTTTCTTTTGAAATAAATTGACAACTAACTATTAAGAAGGGAAATGAGAGTTCTAAATTAACACAAAAGCTTATTTAATACAATTAGTTAACTGCGAGGCCCATAAAAACTATATGTGTCACAATTAATCAATCAAATCATGCTTGATATGTAGCCATAAAATTAAAAACCCTATACAATGAATCAACACAAGAATTTTAAGAAATGTCAACAAAAAGGAGTTAATGGCCTCATCATAATCCATGTGGCATCTCATTGAACATGGTAACATAAGATTGAGTCATGGTTCATGACATACTATATTTGAAAAGTTCTCATTGCCAATTAAGGTGGTTATAGGTTTGGCATCATACTAAATATCAATCATCATGCTTATGGAGCCATGATTTTATAACATGGCATTTTCGTTATTAATGATCATTACATCTATACTTTAGCAAATTGCGTGTTAAAGAGAGAGAGAAAAAAGGAACCAATAATGCACTGAGTTGTGACTAATGTGTTGTGATTCCTGTTTTAGTTATTTTTTTTACGAGGTGTGCAAATGAGTGAATAAGGGAAAAGAAAAAAAAAACAAAAAGAACCACAAAATTTAGGGTTTCGTTTTTTGCTCATTACGTTGGAATCAATCCTTTGCGTTATTCATTAATAACATATCCTTGTGAAGTAGAAGCAAGGCTCGCGGCATTGTTCTGCGAGTTTTGACTTTTAAGTCTCACCTTCTTCATCAACCTTTTAGCTAAGCATTTTCTTGTTTCTCCTATTTAGCATTGTTTGGTTAATCAATCTTCATCGACAAATTGTCCATTCATGTGTTGGTATGTTATGCCTCTTTGCTCTTTTCTTCTTCAGATTCATATTGTAACAATTGTTACTTCCTTTTAGAATTGTGTTTTGATTTTGTCTCTTTTTATTGATATTCATTCAGATTCAACTATTGTCATTTTTTTTGTTTATTTGGTGTTTGGTTAATTTAATTTTACAAATTTTATTTGTGGCTATTGTGGATTTATTTTTTAAGTTGTCAATTTGAATCTATTATGGTGATGTGTGTGAATCTACCCTTGGTGTTTAAAGATTTGATAGAAAACTAAAGGATCTTAAATTTGTTTGATTTTACTAATTAGAAAATTTAATAACAATTTATTTTGAATTTGTTTTGCTCTTTTTGTTTTTAGATTCCAAACCTTATGAAGGTTTTAGTAATGTGCACTATCAATTTTATCTCCCTAACATGAGAATTAAGTAAGGTTTTGAAAATTTGATAACAGATTTATTAATTAGTAAAATTTAATATCAAGTATTAGGAATAAAATACATTGTGAATTGATCTAATTTAGTTTTAGTGTTGAAATTGAATTTTTCTCCTATTATTTGTTAAGTTGTGTACTTATTGTAAGTATGAGTAATTAAATAAAATTATTCATATAAGATCAAATTCATTTCGTCTTTATTTTTTTTAAAGAACAATGAAATTTTTGTTTCAAATTAATTTAAATAATTTAATTTATTTTTTTTAAGATGAGTTCCAAACATGTAAAGTGAATATTTTAAATCAATTCAAATAATATGAATTATAATTTTTATTGAATTTAAATGAGACTTCTAGGTAAACTTTTTTGTGGTATCTATTAGTAAGTTGAAAAGAGCTTTCAGAAGCTAATGAAACTTGATGCCAAGTAACTTTGCATTATGTATAGTGCTCTTATTAAATGCTCCAAAATTTTCTACTAGATAAAGTTATGGAGTTAAAATGTTGTTGTCAATGATATTACCAATTCATATTATTATTATTATTTAATTATCTTTTCACCCTCTCTCTCTCACAAGTTTTATAGTGAATTTCTTTTTTATGTGTACCTATTATTCATTTTGAAATGAATTTTAGACATGTATAATATCTTATAAAGTATTGATTATATAATGTCAAAGTGAATTATTCATGCTTATGGTCCTTTTAACTTTCACTTCTACTCCCATCAAGTGTGTGTATGGGTTATTGTTAAAACTTTTAAACAAATTATCTCTTTTGCACTTTAATCTTTTGTGTCTCTTTACTATTACTTATTGTGGCATAGTAAAAAATCTCATAGTAACAATCACATCCTAGTGCAACTTAATAAATAAAAGGATCTTTCAATGATGCATTCATGTTCTTATCAAAAGAAATATATTTCTAACTAAGACATTGGTTAAATATACAATTTTTCAGGTGATGGACATGATTTTGATTTCTAATGTCCTTACTTTGGGGTAATGAGATGTGTCAGGTTTTGAAGTACATTGAGCAGGGATGGATATTGCTGCTCTTTTAACTTCTACTGGAATTAATATTGTAATTTGTGTGGTGTTGTTTTCATTTTATTCTATATTAAGAAAACAACCCATCAATGTTAATGTGTATTTTGGAAGAAGATTAGCCTCTCAACATTCAAAACGCATTAATCTATGTCTGGAAAGATTTCTTCCCTCCCCTAGCTGGATATGGAAAGCATGGGAAACATCTGAAGATGAGATAATGGCAATTGGTGGATTAGATGGTGTGGTTTTTGTGAGGATACTTGTTTTCAGGTTGTTCAATCCTTCTAAGATTTAGTATTTTTAGTTGTGCCTTATATTATTTGATGAACCTTTTTGTTAGAGTGAATTGTGTTCATATTTATTAACTTTTTAACATGAAAATTATTAGATGCCAACCTATACCAAGTATCAAGATTTTTGATACCTAGTTATGTAAAAGTGAAGGTGTTATAAAGTTCATTCTAGTAAATATTTTTAGGTTACTCTCTATAGTTTATATATACTTAATCTCTATATGAATACATATCAGAAGTATAAATTTGATAACATTTATCTTGCATTAAATGCTATTAAAACCTCAATGGTCAATATTAATTAACATGTTAATTGTGTTGTTCAATTTTATCATTTTGTAAATGGTTTTACCTTGTTTCAAAAATAATTTCTCATGAAATCACTATTTTAATCATTTTGATAAAAATGCATTTAAAAATTGATAGTGTAAAGAAACTAGAACATTCATCCAAAACTCATTCTTAATTGCATATTTATATTGTAAAATGGAATTAATACTTAAAATCTAATGTAATTATATTTTATATGCTCATGATATCTATTAATCTATCATCTATGTTAATGGTTTATGTCTATATCATAAGACATTAGTTTAAAAACTTATACATAAACAACAATTTGATATTTATGCTAACAAAGATATAGATAAGATTATTGTTGACTTCATATGTTGGGTAATTAATATAGGTAATCCAATACTCGTCAAGTACCAAATAAATCAATAAAGCAAAGTGTGAACTTGCATTTTATCCTTTATAAATTTATGTACTTTTCAATTAAGCATGATAAATCATCATATGCAGCCTTTATTATGCCTTGGTTTTTATGTATTAGGTTTCAACTCTTATTTATTTATTTATTTATTTATTTATTATTATTATTATTATTATTATTATTATTTAAATTCAAATGACTTCATCATACATTTTTAAAAAATATCAAATAAAAATTTAAAAAGAAATTTAATTGTCCATATTATGACTTTTATTAATAATTGTAATGTTGTTATTATCTCATTCAGTATTCGAGTGTTTTCCATCGCTGCTGGCATTTGTATTATTTTAGTACTTCCTATAAATTACCATGGCCAAGACAGAATTCATAAGATTATACCTTTCGAGTCGCTGGAAGTTTTTACCATCGAGAATGTCAAAGAAGGTTCAAAATGGTATGAGTTATATCTTTTTTCAATAAAAATATTATTTATATTCATTTAATTAAAGTAGCTAAGAATGTGTGCAAGTAAATAATTTCAATAGAGTATATAGGTTGCTTTATTAAGTTTTATAGGTAGGAATAAACAATGCTTTCAAAAGAAAAATGTGGATATGCTTTGTCCTACTCATGGCTAAGTAAACTACTAAACTTTTCTTTATTGAGGAGTTTATTTGTGCTATCTGTTTCTTCCAAAAAAAAAAATGAAGTGTGAGCAAGAAAATATAAAATTTCAATTTCTATTGATTTGACTCATTTTCTTTATTTATTATTTTTTCATTTAAAAATGTTAGTAAATTAGTAATTAATGCTTTTTCTTTATTTTTTGTGTGTCATCAGGCTTTGGGCTCATTGTCTTGCTCTATATGTCATAACATTATCGGCTTGCACTCTTCTTTATTTTGTAAGGATATGAATTTATCTACAAGATAAACTTTTGTACCTATTTTTATGAAATGACCTAACAAATTAATTTTTAGTTTTACTTTTTCTATTTGTAAATATTAATTTATTGGTGCATATGTTTTAGGAATATAAAAGCATTACTTATCTGAGGCTACTACATATTATTGGATCACCTCCAAATCCTAGTCATTTTACAATTCTTGTTCGATCAATTCCTTGGTCATCAGAACAATCATACTGCGAAACTGTAAAAAATTTCTTTTCACACTACCATGCACCAACATATTTGTCGCACCAAATGATTTACAAGTCTGGTACAGTTCAAAAATTGAAGGTGAGCTTCTTAATTCATTTAAATATTCTTTTTATCAGTATTTAGTTTTAGCTATATTGTTTGCCAATTTTATATATATGTAAAGCTTATTATTTAGATCATTTTCAATTACTAAAGTCATATGTTACATTATTAATGTGTATTTTTTAATAGGTTATCTAAGATGATTATTTGTTTCAAGTTACATAGAACCAATATAAATGTTTATTATGAAAATGTGTTATCTACATTTCTTTTGTTTTATAATTCTATCTTTATTAGGTGATTCGGTATGATATTTGTATCATTTTTTTAATGAACTTACAAAGTTTTGGAAATATCTGGTATAAATAGAAGTTCATTTTTCATTATGACATATGCCTTTCATTTTATAACTTTATCTTTAGTTTTATTGTATTGGTATACAAGTTATTATACTCTACAATAATTAAAATTTGGCTTTAAAGAAACAACATAAACAAAAAGGTAGGTGTAACAAAAAATAAGCATATCAAGATGGATGTTTAACAACACAAAAAAGAATAAGATGTATATGAAGAAGATGACATCTATATAGATAAAGATGATAGAAAATTGGTTAAGGTGGTTTGCACACATGTAAAGAAGGTCTCTAAAGACACTAGTGACTAGAGTAGATAACATGATTTTTGGCCATGTGAAAAAGGGTAGAGGGAGACCAAGAAATGCATTGGAAAAAATTATTAAGGGGTATCTTATGATGAATAATATTCTTAAGGATTTAGTTCTTAATTAAGATTAACGATGTTGTTGTTATTCGACAAACCCTATTGCGGTTGTTGTTATTTCAAATGACAAAAAAAAACTTTTTTCTCTTTCACTTATGTATCAAGGCTTTTAACATAATAGAAAAAATTGTAAACTTTCTTATGCATATCTAAGGTGTATATTGAATTTCATTTCTTAGATAATGGTATGATATTTGAGACATTTCTTAATACCATGAAGTCATTCTCCATTTACCTATTTTAGCAATTGATAAAATATAATTTGGTTAAGTTCTAAGATTTTATTTAAAGCTACTAACTCCTTTCCAGTTGCATTTAGACTATGATTCCAAACATTCAAGTATATAATGATTATTATTATTTTTATGATATTTATAGTTTATTTTTCAATAATATAAACTTACACTACTTTTATTTCTAGAACATCCATTCATTACATATTATAATCTACTTTTTCAGGATGATGCTGAACATATGTGTAAGGTCATTAAACATGCTTCAGTGGAAAAGACTTGCAAGTCCAATTTTACGCCATGTTGCTATCCTGGATTTGCAACAAATTCGTTTAAGAAGATTTCTAGTGAAATGGATAGTATACAAAGGAAAATGAGCTACAATAACATGCATTTAGATACAGGAGAAAAGGTATTATTTTTGCTAAATCACTTTATATAATTATGACTTATTGTAAGCTCTTTTTTTTTTTAAATTGACATTGAAATACCATATTTAAAAATTTACCATGTGATCAAGATCCACAAATATTGTTGTATGAAAATAAGTAACACTACAAAAAGAAAAATGACCTTGTAGTGGTACATCTAATACTAATATAATAATTGTCATTAAAAACTATTTTTATCTGCAATATATGTTGGTTTGTGTTCGTAAATATATTCTCATAATTGTTAAAAAGTGTAAGTATAGGTTATAATGACACACGATATATGTTATCAAATCACATTTAAAATCAACACTAAAATTAAGTGTGAGTATATGTTAAATTGATTTATACCTACATATATTGTAGCTATAGTGGCATTTTTTTTGTATGTCAAGTTATGTAACATTCCTTGTAATGTAACCATTGTAATTTTTTTCTTTTTTTATTTGATTCTTACTGATAAATGTGATTATATTTTCTATGATACACTGCTTTGACTTGTACCCAATTTAAACTAGGGAAATTTTAATTGAAACTAATTTTATATAAAAGTTTGTCAAAGCCTCAAAAAGTAATTTACAATTTTCTTTTGATGAGAATACTGATAAACAAGTTTTTAGTGTGTTACATGGATAAACAAATGACCATTGATAGAGTTGCATTCTTTAAGGTTCTTTTGAAAACCAAACACTTAAGGGATGAACAAACTTGTAACATAGAGGAAGCCATGGCCACTCTTGACTTTTTCATAAAAATTGTATATCAATAATAATTTTATAATATTTCATAATAATTTATAATATTTGAATTAAGTAGGTATTATATTGTTTTAAAGATAAAAGAATCATTCTTGTTGCTACTTAATAGTTGGTAAAATTAGCATTTTGAGAAGAAAATATATATTAGGTTGATTTGTGCTTCCCAAAATTAGGAGACATGAAGTGGTATGCCTATATGGTGAAAAACATTTGAGATGTTTGATTTCGGACTTTGAAATTGTAGTGTATGTTTTGGATAGATTTGTGACTCTTTCAATCTTAATAGTTTGATTGTGAATTTATCTCAAATTTTATTTCTTTCAAAATTTAGACTTTGGAAATTTCAAATATGTGTAATGTTTCCTACTTGTTTATTAATCACGTATGGAGAAGTCAAAGTTGGGAATCATTTGTTGTCTCAATATAAACAGTGTTTTCTTCTTGTGTATGATTATACTTTTATCATTATTTATTGTTAGATAATGAAATTCATGTCATTATTGCACTTTATTATTATTATTATTATTATTTTCATTTAGAAGTTGTAGAAATATTTCAAGTTGGGTGATGTCAACAATTTTTTGTGTCCACTAATTTGTGCTTCATGTTTGGACCTTTAATATAGGATTGTGCTGCTGCTTTTGTGTTCTTTAAAAGTCGGTATGCTGCTCTTATGGCTGCACTTGTACAACAAACATCAAATCCTATGTTATGGGTGACAGACGTAGCTCCTGAACCACATGATGTTTATTGGTCCAATATTCGCATACCATATAGGCAACTTTGGCTTCGTAAGATAGCTACATTCGTGGCCTCGGTTGCCTTCATGCTTGTGTTCCTTATCCCTGTTACATTTGTACAAGGCTTGACTCAATTAGACAAACTTCAAAAAATGTTACCATTTCTTACAGGGATACTTAAAGAGTAAGATGTTGTTGCATGTATAAAAGATTAATGTCATGGACTTTTATACTTCGCGTAACTCAGTTTTTTTGGGTAAAATACATGTATTAGGATTTTGAAAAAAAAAATAACAAACATAATATTTTTTTTAAAAAAAGTTCATTTTATGCAACATAGTGCATTAATTTATTTTATGAATGTATAACTTCATTTTAATAGACAATAAAGAATTGAGTAAAATTACAAAAAATAATTGATAAAAATATTTGTAGTTTTGGAATAAGTAACTACTCAACCAATAAACTAAGTTGAGAGAGTACTTCATGTATAATCACTTGATAATCATTATTCATGAGGTAAATATGCTTTTTATTCTAAGCTTTTTAAATATGATATATTATCAAGCTTTAAGTTATTAGCATGTTTATTGCTTGTTTGTAGTGATAGGATCATTATGTACATATTAGTTACGGTTACTCCTTGCTTGTTCTTTTACTCCACCAATTTATGATTTATATTTCTCACAAACAATGCTAAAATTTTGTAATTACATATGTCATGTTTTCTTGTAAAAATTGAAATGATGACAACTTAATATATTGAGAACTCGAACATGGAATATGAAGTGTTTGGTAAAAAATTATTAACTTCAAAATGGTACGAAGTTCATTGTAAATTGACTTGTTTTTTTGCAGGAAAATTGTGAATCAGGTGGTGACTGGTTATCTACCAAGTGTGATATTGGTTTTATTTTTGTACGCAGTTCCACCTATGATGATGTTTTTTTCTGCTGTGGAGGGTTCTATTTCTCGCAGTTCAAGGAAAAAGAGTGCATGTTGTAAAGTCTTATACTTCACAATTTGGAATGTGTTTTTTGTTAATGTATTTACTGGTTCTGTTATTAGTCAACTTTCAGTCTTTTCTAGCGTAACAGATCTTCCAAGTCAACTTGCTAAGGCAGTTCCAGCACAGGTGATATATCTTAGTTTCTACAAGAATAATCTATATTTTTAATCTTTTATCCTTTGTTTATACTTATCTTTTTGAATATGTTATAGAGTATTGTTGAGTTGTATTTGTGAAATGATTTTCATGCTATTGGATGTATTAGGGATTTGAGCTACACTAAAACATTGAACATACTCGTTGATTCTCTTTTCTACCAATGTTTACTATAGATAAATTAAGTCTTATGTAATTAGTGATCACTTTACTTTGACTTTTTCATGTTATGCAGTCGACTTTCTTCACAACTTATGTTTTATCATCTGGTTGGGCAAGTTTGGCATGTGAAGTTATGCAATTTTTCCCTCTTTTATGCAATATTGTTGAGAGATTCATACTTAGGCATAAGGAAGATACACTGAATGGCAACCTATCTTTTCCATACCATACAGAAGTTCCAAAAGTCCTACTGTTTGGATTCCTTGGGTTCACTTGTTCCATTTTGGCACCCTTAATATTGCCCTTCTTGTTGATCTATTTTTTCCTTGCTTACCTTGTTTACAGAAACCAGGTTAGTTCATCTATCATGTGTTCATCTTGTTTATTCCTCATTATGGACTTTATTGCATTTATTTATTTCCTTTATGTGAAAAAAAAACTTAACTTATATATGTATGGATATGTTTTTTGTTTATGTTGTTGCATTTTATTTTATGAGTTAATATCTAATAGACATAGCTAGACATAATTACTATATTTGAGTAATGATTGTTTTTGACCAATGTTATATGATTTGAGTGTTTAATTATTTTGAAATAAGGTGAATCAACTAGTTGAAATGTAGGGTTTTTGTTTTGCTATGAGAGAAAAAGGGTAGGGTTTACAACATAGTTTCATGTCACTAGTTTTGCATATGAAACATTTATAATAAAAAGGAATTAAAGAAAAATGTGAGAATTATAAGTTAATGCTCATGACACTTACCAGATCTTATTAGTAAGAATATTTCTCTTCCTTTTGATTGAAACAAACTAAAACTTGTTGATTATATACAAAAAATTTGATCATGGAATATCATTTGCATTTACTATATTCTATCAAGATTTTGATTATTGAGTTTCAAAAATCTAAAACACTATATGGCTAAGTTCTCAAAAGGTTGTTTATAGAGTTTGATTCTTTCTTTAAGGAGGGATCATATTACAAGAGTAATTTTAATGGTATGTTTGGGGAAGGTGATTTAGTAGGGAATGGAGAAGAAAGTGAGAGGTTATGAAGGAATTAAAAAAAATGTATGTTTGGAGACGATGTTTTAAGTGAATTTGTGATAAAATTGTGGTGGAGTCCATGTGAATTTAATTTCACTCTCTTGTAGGTGGATTTTTGTGGAATTTTCCACAAAAAAAAAATACTTGAAGAAGACTACCTACAATATTGTCTAAATGTATATTTAAAAATAGTTAGTAAAAGATAAAAACGTAATTGTCTAAATAATATATTTTTACATAAAAATCTAACTATATATAATACAATGTTAAAATACTAATTTCTCCCAATTGCTCACATAATTCCACTATACCAAATAGCTACAAATTCCACATTATTTTTTTACTTATTTCCTATCAAATCAATTCTCATCTATTCTCTTCCATTTTCTTCAATTTTTCCCCATTCTCCTAACAAAGCATAAAAGAGTTACTCTTCAACCTCACTATTTATTTTCTTTTAATATTTATTTTCTTTTAATATAATGGTCAAAGACAAAATATTTGTTAGAATTGTTCGATTAAAAGAAGATATATGGTGAAAATAAGGAGTAACTCTTTTAAATTTGCTTTTAGAAAAACTCATCATTTCTCTCATTATATATATATATATGTGTGTGTGCTCAAATCTATATACATTTGCCAATTTTCTAGCTAGAATAATATAATAATATGGAGAAAATAAAAAGGACTAGTGTATACTTAGATTTTTACATTTAACGGTATTTGATTTTTTTTTCTAGGATAATTTTCTTACCAAAACTAATGATGCAGCCCATTTTATGATGTGAAAATGATGTTTGAATTTTGATTAATGGACAGTGATGGATCAAGTTGGTATAGAATGAAATAATATTAAGTTTCATTCAACTTCATATAATATGTCTCAATAATATTTGGATTATGATGACTAAAATAAAGGTACAATAGTATAGTAATTTTAATTTCTCTCTTCTCCCTTTCCTTCTTTTGAATATAATGATAAGTGTCATGAAATAAAATGAATGAAAGGCAATAAAGTCATGTTCATTTATTAGATACTTTATTATGGAATAAATGGTTTTATCCTAGCCATTAGGGTTAGTTTAGTCTAATAATCCAAATGTCTCAAGCATCTTTTCTTTCCCTTCAAAGTTGTCTAAAATCAAGAGATGAATTTACCATAGTGTTATCAAACTCAACTCAAATTGATTGGTTGGACCAATCGGATCAAGAATAGGTGGTGTCAGCAAGTTGAGTTAACAATTAGACAGGATATAGATTGACTTGGTGAAGATGCCATCAAATTAGCCTAAAAATAGTTTTAAACCAATAAATTTTGTTCTACTTGAACCTATGCTAAGTATTATGCACGACTCAATGCATGTTCTGCCCAAAGAGATGTTGTAGACTTGTGTGCCTTGAGGTGGGCTTGTTGCCTAAGCAATGTTGTTGCACTTATTTGTAAAACATCATTGAAGTATAAAGTAAAATAAATAACTATATTCATAATCAGGACTCAAACCCACTCTCTTTACAATGTTGATCACTTTAACATACCACATGGTTTAATAAGTGACTTACTAGTTTGATCAATAATCCACCAACCTGATATCTTGATCGAGTTGATGACCAATCCAATTATGATAACATTGATTTGTCCCCCTCCATTTCTCACTTTTCCTCCTTAAATTTTGAAATAAAATACTTTTAAATTAACCCCTCCCATCCTATCTTTTCTCCCGGTTAAAACATTATGATAGTGATTTCTTTATTTATATTTTTTACCTTAAATTAAAAAATAAAAAACTTTATCTAACATCAATATTTTTTTTTCCAGATTATCAACGTGTACATTACAAAATACGATAGTGGGGGTCAATTTTGGCCAATTGCTCACAACACAACAATCTTTTCATTGATATTTGCCCAACTTATTGCACTAGGGGTGTTTGGACTTAAGAGCTCATCAATTGCATCTGGATTCACCATTCCATTGTTGATTGGTACGCTTCTATTTCACCAGTATTGTAGAAAACGATTTCTCCCAGTGTTTAAAAGCAATTCAGCACAGGTAAAACTCACTCACTTCCTCTATCTTTAGGGTTGGCCTAATGATAAGTGAATTATAAAGCAAATCTTGAGACAATTTTTTTTTCTTTATATGAAAAATGTGTACATTGAGCTACACTATTTTGCAAACATGAGACATTGATGTCATCATATATGACTTTTTCACTTTAAAAACTTAATATCACATGAATTTTTTATGGTAGGCATAAAACTTAAGCTTTATTGCTTTAGTATTATCTTTGGGTCAGCCCTACCTATCCTCACCCCTTATCTTTCATTCCACCAATTAAAACTAATTCAGCTTGCTTCAGATTCTTATTGACTTGGATTTGAGAGATGAACGCTGTGGAAGGATGGAAGAAATTTATGAACAATTGCGTACAACCTACAACCAACCTAATGTAATGTTGCATGCCTCGTGCCATCCCCAATGTTGTGGTCATCATGAGAACAAGGATAGTGGTGAATCTTCAGAAGATATGGAGAAAGGTTTACTTTTTATACAATCATTGTGATTTCACTTTTCGAATAATGTTTAAGAACCTAATAATGTTTGATTCTTCACTCAGGTAAGGAAAATAATCAAAAAAATCGACCACAAGCCGTTCAACGCTCATTGAGCTTGAGTTCGGATAAATCAGTACTTGGTGTAAATTAATTTGTAACTGGAATTGTACAATATTGTATAAAAATATCATTATGTGCTTTAAAGGTGTCTGTGCATAAACAATTAATCAAGTTAAAATGAATATTTGTTACATTGTTCATCGAATGTTTCCAAATGTAAATAGCCTTTTTTTTATAAAAGGATTTTCAATCAAATGTGAATAGACATGTAAGAATACAACAATGTCATCCAAGTAATTTTGCAGCTGCTGAGGTCATTTTCATAAATTAATCAATGTTGTAATAACGTATCTTAAATTATATTGACCTCTAAATAGTGCAAGGTTCAATTTAGTGATGAGAGATTAAGATAATATGAAGAAAATCTTAGATTATAACTTTGTTGTCATTAATGTAATCATATGAATTAAAAAAAAATGTTGATCTCTAAGTACTTTTTACTTTGTAAGTCTCGATATTTTCTCATCTTCTGTTTCATTTTATCTCTGTTAGAACTTCCATAAAATAAAAATAAAATAAAAAATTGTTTTTATTTTACATGTTCAAACATCAAACTCCAAGCGAAGATTAAGTTTTGTCATCTTATTTACTCATTCAATGAATCCCCATCTTTGATAGAGCTTATTTGTTTTTTTTTGTTCTAACATTAAATTCAATTCGACAGTGCAAACGTTGTAATATTTACTTGAAAGGTTGTTCACATCATGTTGCTAAATAATTTTCTTCTTTATGAATATTGAGTTTATAAAATTATATTTACTATAAAATTTGTTAAACATTATATAGAGTAACGGTTAGTAGAGTTATTTTACTGAATGACTTCTAATATATATCGGTGTTAAAAAAAAAAAAAAAGACTCCTAATATATATCAAATTTCAACTGCCAAATTGTTATATATTTTAATATTATCTCAATGATTATACAACACACATTTTAGGTACATTGAATATTTATAACCAGTTAACTTAATAAGAATCAATTTACTCAATAAAATATTTTAATTCAATAGTCCAATTATTAAACACTCTGTAACCTAAACATGTGCTAAATTGTGAGTGGTGGTGACCCAAGTAATGTGTTGGTTTAGGCTGGCCCAAAATAAAAAAGAAGGGAAATAGTAATTAGAGTGATTATTAGAACTCAAAAATAAATTGGGTGAGTTATTTCTAATTATTTTTTATGGGTCTTGCTAACCAGTATCATGGGACACTAGTTAAGAAATCGATATTAAAAAAAATTATTAAAAACTTCAACATTTTAACACAGAAGAATGTGCTAATAATAAAAAATACATATTTTTGATTTCTTAACTAGTGTCTTAATAGACTGGTTACCATTTTTATTTTTTTTATTTGGGGATTATTTTTTGTGTTTTTTTTTTAATTGTGTCGTGTTTTATTTTATTTAATTAATAGTCATTGATTGAAACGCATTGCTTCAATTGAAGTACCATCAACATGTTGCATTGCGGAATAAGCTCAACCTAATGCTCGCTTGCATGTGTAGTATTTCATTCTTCTCAAGTTTTTCCCACAAAAAAAAAAATACTTAGCACAAGTTTTCAGTAAATATAACTTTATTATATTTATTATTTTGGACACATGTAAGGAGTCTAATTTGGAATATCTCGAATTTCACATTTTCAATCTTGACTTTAAAATTGATTTTAGTTAATTATTTCATCATTAACAAAATCTTACAAATTAGGGAACACCCTAGTGTCTAGTAAAAAGGAACATGCACTTTCATATGCTACCATTTTACTTCCACTTTTATATAGGACAAATGCATCATCATTGACCCGTTTCAAACTAGTAGCAAAGCTCTTGATCATTAATTAGTCTCGAGTGAAATTTGCGCCTATTTTCTATATAGATTACCCCCAAGAATATTATTTGAATGAATTTCAATCCAAGGCAAATAAAAACAAACAAAAAATGCTAAAGTCTTTCTAACACTCTTACTAATATTTTTTCTATTATTAGCTAAAGATCACAAATTTTGATGGATTATATCATTCAGGAGAGACACTTATTAAACGAAATACATGACCGTCAAAATTTGTGGTTTATAATAAATTTCAACTAATAATAAAGTGTTAAAAAGACTATAGTTAGCATTCCTCGAAACAAAATGCATTATCTTTCTTGATAATTAAATGGCAATGCCCATAAACATAGCAAAATAAGTTTCTGTTCATCTATTTGTTACATGAAGCTTATAACTTGCTCCTCCCATGTTGCATCCACTCAAATAAGCATAAAAAATGACCACTTTTAATTAACATGTGCAATATCATTGGGAGTGGTTAGTTGCTGCTGAATGATATTCATGAAGGGTGGCAGAAAGATTACCAGATCATGTTGACCACATATTTGCAGAAAACTACAACCCAATCTGGTCATAAAGATGAGCCAGGAAACTGAACTTATCCATCAATCTATCATCATGAAGCCCTCAAACTGGATGCGCTACTTGTTTCTTGTTTGTTCTTTGCATCTTCCACAAAATTTCTCCAGAGCCACAAAATCTGCATCAGCCCACCATTTGCAACGTGCAAAAGAAACACGCGAGGTAGCGTTGCAAACCATGTGGACATGAACTTAACAAACACAAAAATGCAGTACATGCCCAGAAAATGCCATTTCAAATCCTTCTCCTGTGATGTACAAATCGATGTGGAGCCACAGCAAAAGCAAGTTCATTAACAGATTGTAATGAAACAAATAAATCAACTGAGCATATAACTGTGGATGAAATACACAACAAATTCAAAATATACCTCAGATCTATGAAACAATTCTTGTGATATCTCCTTCAAGAAATCAGCCACAAGACAGCCAACAAAGAGGGCAACGGGAATTATCAGTTCACGGTTGATGGAGAATGTATATACAACGTCTGATACAGAGCTAAAGATGAAAAATAAAATAAGAGACCATTTTACTGCCTCTTGTATAAGATTAAATAGTCTGTCTACAAGTATATGCTCAGCTTTCTTCCAAGGAAATTCTTGAACTGAAACTGGCATTGCTTCTTTGAGTTTCTCCCCCATGATCCCGATCTGCATCTTAACATCATTTGGCTCATTATGGTCTGCCATGGATACTTTAACAGATCTGGTTCGAGTATAATATGTTAGACGTGGAAGATATAATTCTGAGTATCTATGGAATTGATAGGGTTGGCATTGAAACAGCTTTACCTGCACAAATGAAAGAATTATTTTTACTAAAAATGAATGAGCAACGGAATAATGAGAATCTGCAAATTTCTAAAAATTCCATCCAGTTATGTTATATCATAATTCATAAATTGTTAGGACTGCAACTTCAGTGGAACCCCTCCCACATACATAATGTGCTCGTGACAAAAATGGCACAAACTTTTAAAGATATAAAATAATACAGTATTTGATTGTCAACAAACCCCAAATTGTCATATCATTGAACATCATCAACTTTTACAATAATTACTTTAAGGGAGCATTTGGTACACGAAAAGTTTAGTTTCCCATAAATTTGAAGTTGGGAATATTAATTTTCCATATTTGGTATATTATTTTAAAAATAACATTCTCATAAAACATTGTTTCTTGAAAATTATTTTTTTCGTAGGTTTCCTACAAGATCGTTTCCATGGGGAGGTAATAATTTAACTTTCTCAAGTTAAAATAAAAGCTTTGCTTTAGTAAAAATATCACATTACCTTTATTTCTTAATTTAATGCAGTAAAAATCTTTGATTTTCTAATAACATAATAATATCCCAAGAATATATGATCAACGAAACACATTTCAGTCATTCTTAGAGCATCTCCAACAGGGGTTGCTTATAAGCAACCCCCATTGCAGATGCTCTTAAGAATCAAAGTTCCTGGGATTCACGAAGCTCAGGAATCATGATTATTAGGTATGAAAAAACTTATAGTGTACCAAACACCCCCTAAAAGTCATACTTGGGGTCTATCTTATTGGTTTATAATCTTTCCACTAACACTACACCAAGATTAAACTCTTAACACATTCCCTTCAACATGTTTCAGCTAAGTTTATTCACAATATCAGAGCAATACTCATGATTCAGCTTAATCCAAATCTCAACAGTTTATATGCCTTTCAAGTTTCTCAACTTAAGTGGCACTTCACTATTTCTTTCTTCAAAACCGTTATATGTTTATATTCTTCCCCTGAAACCCAGTTTACTCCCAAGCAAAAATTGGGCATATTTCTGAATGATTATCTGTCTTCAAGTTTTGTCTTGATTTCCCTTTCTATAATAATACCTAATCAGCTCCAAACCGCACATTGCCCATTTGAATTTCTGCTTAATCACATTAAATTACTAAAATATATAGCACACAAACTCCCTTCAATACAAAGGTAAAAAAATAAAAAATAAAAATCATAATGCAAGAAGTTAAAAGTGACTTGATCATAACCTTATGGGTCATTTTGTTAGAATTAAGAAAAACCCACCAAAAACAAAAGGCTGAATTTCTAAACTGATGATGTCTCAGACATGATTTAACGTTATTTACACATGAGACGGTGTTTTGGTTGAAAACAATGAAGAGAATAGAAGCATACCCGAAACATGGGTGTTGAAGGAAGTGCAAGAGAAGGCAAAATCGCCATCCTTAGCTGCAACCCAATCCAATTCAGTGCAATGCAATAGCACTTCAACCTCTCGTCTTTCTCTAGGGTTTTGCGTTCAGACAGGTTTGGGCCTGGCCCAATTTATCTGTTACAAGGCCCATATGCGAAGCCCTATTCCAAATAATTTAGGGCCTTTGCTTAGACCATCGATCGTCCATAGTCCACAAACAATATGGATCGGCACCAATGTTGGATAGGCCCTTATTTAAAATATAAGTTTTACGGTATTACATCATTTATTTAATAGTAATAAATATAATTGTATTTTTTTTTCTCAATCATTTAATTCATGTATAAGCATCCAAGCGAATTTTTCAAATGATTTTTTTGGTTCTATGTGAACAAAAAATATATTTCATTTAATCGTTGGAAACTTTTTTTTTTTTTTTCTGTAGAGAGATTATTGAAGAGAGTTTTGTCTCTCTTAACAAAGTATTTTTCATACACACGATTAGAGAATTGAATGAAAAATTTAATTATTTACTAATTTTGGTAAAATTAACATGGTATTAATATATAAAATAATGAATTTAATTAAATTCCATAAGTTTTTTTTAAATTATGTGTTGGACTAAATATCATTTTAAAAATAAAGATTTAATTTAAACAATTGAAACAACAATTACTAAAATTACCCATTTGATGAGCTAAAGAAAAAAAAATTCAATGAAACTTAAATTTAATATTTTAACATGAGTATACAATAGAAGTTTCAATTAAAAATTATTAAAACAAAATAAAATCATTCATGCCCAAATAAAAGTAAAATAAGTCACATATACATCGATTATCTATGTTAAAATTTTTATTTATTTACGCTACTATTAACTGGTGTAATTTTATTTTATGAAAACAGGTTGAATGTTACTTGACATATATTTGGCTCATGATTAATACACCTTCTTTTTATAGGTACACTTCCTTTTTAAAAAAAAAATCCTAAAATATTTGAAAGAATTAAAACTACTTACCAATTGACATAAGTGAGGAGTAAGGAGAAGGTAATGTGGTGCATGTGAAAATTGAAAAAATGAGAGAAAAAGGTTGTAGAAAAGAAAGAGAGAGTACTAAATTGAAAGGAGGTGTACTTATAAAAAAAAAAAAAAAAAAGAGGTATATATATATCATGAACCCATATATTTTCCTTATAAGCCCAGTTTATTATGTGATTTATTTTGGGTTTGATAATCACCATGTAAGTATACCTAACTATTTAATCAAGCCTAATAAGCAAGTGTATTAAGTTTTTATGCAAGTCTACTTGATTTAATATCTGTGATGAATGAATATTAAATTGTGGTTTTAGAAACTAAAAGATCTAATCCCACTAGATTCCTATAAGTTTTGTGGTTATTATTTTTGCTCCATCTAAGAGACAATTGTGACAAAGAAGAGTTTTGGTAGAAGAACTTGAATACGTAACCGGTGTTTTTATATACAAATCAATACTATAATTTAGAACATTATATCAATGTTTATCAATTATAGTATTGATTTGTATATAATTTTATCATGTAGTATTAAAGCAAGTTATAATATGTTTAGAATCCTATTTTTTTATTTATCAATTTCTTAATTTGAAATTAAAATTTGGTAATTTAGAGCGCTGTAATTTTGATTATGATAATAAATGAAAAGTTTTTTTTTTTTGTTCTTTTATGAATGCAATAGCTAACAAATAATTATGTTATTTTTTCTTGTATTCAAATAAAAAAGAAATTCATTTGTGTTAAGTCCTATATAAAAAAATGGTTATGTATATCCAATTTATTTGTGTTTGGAGGAGTAAAAACAATTTTTATGGGCAATTGAAAATATGCTGTTGAAGCTTTATTGATTGAGTAATGGTCATTTGTAAAATTGTAGAGTTACCTGCTAATTTAACATGAACATGACAATAAAATCATTCTGTCCACAAGTGTTGGATTTTTGTAATTTATTATATAATGTATTATTTTCATATCATTATAATATTGTGTTATTTAGATTAATTTTTGTTTTAACTCATTCACAAAGGATTAATTTATTGACTAATTATATGACATGTTAATTTTAGAATGAGCATCACAATAAAATCTCCAACTCACTGTTGGATTTTTGTAACTATTGGTATTGTATAATATATTCTCTATCTACAATGGAGTTTATATTATGTATGTATTAAATCCTTGTTTTTTTTACAATTATGTTACATGTTATTGTTCGTATTAAATTCAGTTTTTCTTATATTTTTCATGAATAATTCTATGTTCACATTAAGCATGTAATGATAAATAATTATAAGAGATGCCAAATCCACTTATGGATACGTTTTCATGTTGTGTAGAAAAGTTGTATTTTGAATATGTGTAAAACAGACTGAAACAACTTCTTTTGCTATGTAAATTGATTTTGTTGTCTGTTAAAAGACTATATCACATATTTTATGGGTAAAAAAATTTATCTCTATTCTTGAAATTATAAATTATATTTTTATGCCATTAAAAATTTATTGTGATGTTGAACATATATATTTAGAAAAGAGTTAATCACATATACACTGTTAGTATAAAGTTTTTTTACACTAGCAACCAATTATATCTTTTATTGTGTCATGTCATTGTTAAAAGTAAATGTATTTATAGTGACATGGCACAATTAAAAGATATAATTAGTTACTAGTGTAAAAAAAACTTTACACTGGCAGTGTATATGTGATTAACTCTTTAGAAAATGCTTGTTGATCCCCTAACTAAATGATGTATAGTTAACGGGAGTCATAATAATTATTAAATATTTTATTTTGAGATGATTTTTTTTTGGTAAAGATAGAAAAAATTACAAAGATGGTCGCAATGAGGATTGAACATAAGTTATCATGTTTCTAACCCCTCCCCACCAAACCACTAGGCTAACCCTAGTGGTTTAAAGATGATTTAATTCTTTTTGAGAATGTTGTTTCATAAGAAACATGATATATATATATATATATATATATATATAATCTTCTTGAGAAGATTGGTTGTGTTTTCTTAGAAAAACACAATGTAAGATTTATACACAATAACATGAAAAGATCACATGAATTATGTTATGATGTGAACATGCATTTCAATTTTCACACTTGTGTTATGATTATGCTGATTAGATTATTAGTTATGTGATCATTAGTAAATCAATCTTTAAATAGTTTGTCCTTATCATGACTCTTGACTTGTGATTTTATTGGTAGTATTTATCAATTTTTATGATAATTATATTCAGGTTGTTTTATGGGCACAATAATTCAACCCAACAGTCATTTTCAAAATAAAATTTTAAAATAAATAAAATTTAATTAATATTATTCAAGTGGGAGAATGTTAGAATTTTATTTATTTAAACTCAGGGACAAAGTTAAAACTCAAGTATTGCAAGGACCAAATATAAGAAAAAATTATTTAATAAATATCTAAATATCTAAATTTTATATAAAATATTTATAATTACTCATTTTTAAAATGTTTCACAAATATTTTTAGAGAATATATTTAATAGTAAATAAGTATTATTAATTTTGTTATAAGAATTAAATCAAAATAGATTATGTTACTCAACAATTTTCTTTTGGACAATAATAGTCAATAATTATCAATAAAAATTTCACCAAATTATTTATTAAGATAATAATAGTCAATAAGAATTGAAGATAATAAAATATTATGTTTAACCACGAAGAGATGAGAAAAAAATATAAGAAAAATTGTCATGAGACATGAAAGAAATTTTATTAATGTTACTTAGAGTTTAATATACCAATCTCTTATATAATGTACAAATATTTATCTTATCATCAAATATTAATAATAATTTTTAATTCTCAAATCAATTTATAATCAAATTGATACAAAAGGGATGAAAACAAATTCATTTTATTACAAATACTATTATTTATAACTTTTAAAATTACTATAAAAATTATATAAAAAAGAAACAATTAGAAAAATCATTTTATGTTAGTAAATAATTTGCTTAAAAATAGAAGAAAAAAAATTATCTAAGACCATAAAAAGAAAAACAAAATATTTGTATTTAAAAAAAATTTACAATAAAAAATATAAAAAAGA